TGGAGTACAGGCAGCTGCACACGCTGCAGAAGCTGCGAATGGACCTGATCCGGCTGCAGCACCAGACTGAGCTCGAGAACCAGCTGGAATACAACAAGCGGCGAGAGCGGGAGCTGCACAGGAAGCATTTCATGGAGCTCCGGCAGCAACCAAAGAACCTGAAGGTGCTGGAAGCTTTCCTTCCTCCTCTCCCAACCTCTGTCCTGCCAGGCAGGCTGCTCTGGGTACTTGCTGCCTCCTCCGAGCAGCATCCATGCTGCAGGGCCACCGTTCCCCACCGGCACTGTGTGCTCTCCCTCGCATCCCTTTCCTTTGCTCAGGGCTGCTCTGGTATAAGAAAGTTGGGGGCTATTATAGCAGACAGCTCTCTGAGGATTTTTTCGGTGCCGTGCTAATTGAGGCTGCTGGGTAAAAATAGGCTACTCCTTAGCAAAGTATTACAGAATTTGTTTCTGATGAGCTGTGCTTTCTTCAGGTCCTTGCTGTATTCAGCCTATAAACCTTGGTATGGAAAGGGGTTGAGTGATTCTTCCTTGCTTTCAAACAGAGAGAACATGGGTGTGCTGAGCACTGTGCTCTGTCCCAGTTCAGCTGCAGGTTGATTAAAAACCTGTTTGCTGTAGGAAATTTCTGTTCCTCCTCTGAACGTCCAAAAAGGCTTGTTGCTTTTATTCGCTTTGTCACACCCTCGCTAGTTCTCAGACCTGCAGTCCCCGTGTAGCGAGCAGGGTAGGTGGGGGAGGCAGCAAAAAGGGGGAGGCCTTGAAAAAGCAAACGCTCTTTGGGAGGCAGGGGGCAGGGTGGTGGGCTGGGCGACCTGCAGGAAGCGGGCGTAGAAGATGGAGATGCCCTGAGCTGAGGAGGGGTTAGTGGGTCCCGTTCCTGGCCCAGGCCTGTGGCCAGTGCTGCAGCAGGGCCTGAGCTGATGCTGCTGGTTAGATGGCTGTGAGTGCAGAGCACGCCCTGCTCACCCGGGTGCAGGGGCAGGAGGCAGTGCAGAGCACGGGGGAGCTGTGGTTGTGCCTCACCAACCCGCCCTCTTGGACCTACTATGACTTCTCCGTTCCCAAAGCTCTTCGTGCTCTTCACATCGTTCCTTCCTTGGCAGGCTATGGAAATGCAGATCAAAAAGCAGTTCCAGGACACATGCAAAGTGCAAACTAAGCAGTACAAAGCACTGAAGAATCACCAGCTGGAAGTAACTCCAAAGAGTGAGCACAAGACAATTTTGAAGAGTCTGAAGGACGAGCAGACGAGGAAGCTCGCCATCCTGGCAGAGCAGTATGAGCAGAGCATCAACGAGATGATGGCCTCGCAAGCGGTGGGTGCAGCGTCCGGCACCTCCTGTCCCTGGGCGGGGGGTCCCTGCCCGCCGGGTGGGGGCTGGGGGGCGGTCGGGCCATCAGTCCTGGCAGCACGCTGGGGTCTTCCCGCCCTAACCGCGGGATGGTTAGCGGTGCAGCTGCGTTTATACCCACTGTTTTAAATAATGCATCGGGTGGCACCTGCCCTCTTGTAAGAAGCGTCCTGCAGAACACGCATCCTTTCCCTGCTGCCCCTTGCGCGCTGGGGTTTTAGAGTTGGATTTTCTCCGAGGCTTCTCTGCCTCCGTGCGAGTGGGGGAGCAGCTGTTCACGGAGCCCGCTCCGCTTTCCTCATTCTGCCACCAACGCCAGAGGCTCCCCAGCTTTGGGAAGGGAGAGCGGTGCGTCGCCGGCGTCGGAGCGGAGAAGTTACTAGCGGAGGTTTGACTGTTGTTTTCTTACAGCTGCGGCTGGACGAGGCCCAAGAAGCGGAATGCCAAGCCCTGAGACTGCAACTCCAGCAGGAGATGGAGCTGCTCAACGCATACCAGAGCAAAATTAAGATGCAGACAGAAGCACAGCATGAAAGAGAACTCCAGAAGCTGGAGCAACGGGTGTCGCTGCGCAGGGCACATCTTGAACAAAAGGTATGTTGGGGGGGGGGTTGCTGGGGGGCACCTGGTCACACGTATGTGGGTCCCGCCTCGGACGCGGGGCCGGCACCGTGCGCCGGGAGGTGCCGTACCCGGGGCGGTCGCGCTCTGCTAAGGGGCTGCTGACTGTGCTTCTTTCAGATCGAAGAGGAGCTAGCCGCCCTCCAGAAGGAACGCAGCGAGAGGATAAAGTTTCTGTTGGAAAGGCAGGAGCGAGAGATTGAAACGTTTGACATGGAGAGCTTGCGAATGGGCTTTGGGAATTTGGTCACATTAGAATATCCCAAGGAGGACTATAGATGAGATTTAAATTTCTTTGCCATTTATAAACAAACACACAAAAAAAAAAAAAAAAAAAAAAGACAAAAAGCAAACAAAATAATGAGAAAACTTGCAAAACCAACATTCCCCATGTTAACGGGCGTGCTCTCTCTCTTTCTGTCTCTCTTACTGACATCGTGTCGGACTAGTGCCTGTATATTCTTACTCCATCAGGGGCCCCCTTTCCCCCTGTGTCAAGTCCCGGTGCAGGACAGCTCCTGGCGGTCTTTTCCATAGTATGTCACAGTATTGATGTCTCTGTGCAATGATTAAAAATGTTTCAGTGAAAACTTTGGAGACAATTTTAATGGAGAAAAAAAAAAAAAAAAAAAAAAGTGGATGTATGTTGCTTTTGAGCAATCACTCATTTTACCACCAATCAATGAAAGTACAAGCAAAAAAAAATAATAATCAAAAGATATATACAAACCCAGGGGGAGAGAGACTAAATCCGCAGCCTTACCTTAACTAGCTGCTGCATAATTTTATTTTATTTTTATTTTTTTGGTATTTATTCATCAGGAATAATTAAATAATAAAAAATTTTATTAAAGATTGAAAAATTTGATACATTTTACAGAAAAAACTTAATCGTGATGTACATATCAGTGGTGACATATTATTACTTTTTTGGGGGTGGGGAGGGGCGGGGCGCAGATCTGGTGATTTTTAGAAGAACCATGCCAGGCGAGGCGGGGATGAGACCTCGGTCCTCGGCATATTCTTGATTGTATCATAATCATTTTCTGCTGTCGCAGAGAATGTGAATACACTTAAATGAGCCCACAGGATCCCAGTAGCACAAATTGGGCTTTGTCAAATCGTGTATTTTGTGTATAGAAGGAATTTAAGGAGAGCTTTTACTTATTTTCATATTGTATTTTAACTGTTTCTCTGATCAAAAATTTTTTTACTTCTTTCCCCCCTTCCCCCCTGCTCCCAGCCACCCCGCCCACTCTCCAGTTCAGTACTTGGAGTTCAACACTGTCTGTTAGATCATCCCCAGCCCTTTTTTTTTTTTCGTTTTGTTTTGTTTTGTTCCTCCCCCAAGTCCACCCCCAACCCCATGATCTTGGTCATAAATATTGCATTATTCACACTTTCAAACTGTGTATTTTCTTACAATAAAAAGATTAAAAAAAAAGGCTTTACTTCTTTTGCATGCACTTTAAAAAAAAAAAAATAACAAAAACAAAACAAAAAAACCCAACAAAACAACAAAAACATTTTTCAGGTTCCAAGGAAGAGCATGAATTAAACTGTCAGAGCTTTTAATTATATTTGTAAATAAAAGTGTTCATCACAACGCCTCGCTGTCTCTTTGGGGGAGGAGCGGCTGGTGGCCGTCCCCGGCGCAGTGGCAGGTGGGCTGTGGGGCGGGGGCCCCCTCCAGCCCCCCTCAGCCTGGGCAGGGCTGGGGGAAGGAACCTCTGGGGCTTGGTTCCAAACCCGGGTTTTCCTGCTAGTGGAGGTTTTTTAGGCTAATGGATTGTGGCTTCTTTTTTATGTCCTGCTTCCAGGCTGAGGAGTCCCAAGACGGACCAGCCGCTGCTGCGCACGGTGAAGTACAGCTCTTCAAGCACCTCCATCCACCTGATACACTTAGTCTGTCTTGAGTAGTCGGGGATGTTTTCCTGAAAAACCATCGATCCTGTTTTAATGGCTGGGTTGAAGAACTACCTTGGGGCAGAAACCAACCACTTCTCTTAGTTACATAGTCACTCTGATTGTTTTTTTTTTTTTACAGGGCCTCGCTGCAGCACATTGAGGTTTTTGATACCTGTTTCTCAGACCACTTTGCTGCAGACTTTTGAGAAGGGAAGTAGTTTAAAAACCAGGGGAAGGTTTCTAGTTCCATGAAGTAGAATTACATTGTGGCCTCCTCTTTTTTTATCTTTTTCAAGACATCAGCCTGGACCAAAGGTTCATTTTCTGCTTTAAGCTTTTAGGAGACACCACCAGGCCTCACTGCAAGCTACTGGAGGATCGGGGAAAACAACTGGGACCCTGCAGCTTGGCTGGGAAGTGGCTTCAGGTCAGTAAAGCCGATGGTGCTTCTCCCAGGAGCCAAAACCTGCAGTTGGTGTCCAGCTGGGGGGAAGGAGGCCTCTCGGGAGCACCCCACCAGAGGCCTGGGTGCGGGGAGACCCCCGGGACAGGCAGGGCCCGGGCTCCCCTGCCAGGCGTGGGCGAAGGGCTCTGGGCTCCCCCAGTCCCAGGGAGATGCAGGGGAGGGGGGGCTCGCTGGCAGCTGGTTCTGCTCCCCCACAGCTCGCCAGGGCCTGGGACCTGTGAGCATGGGCTGCCCCACCAGCAGCAAGGAACCGCAGGGCTGGTGGCAGGAGGTTTGGGGGGGATACATTACCCTGCTGATGGTGAGCGAGATGGCGGCTTCAGAAACACCCTGGAAAAAGAAGCATCCTCTCCCACTTTCTACAGCCAGCCTGCCAGCACTCCCTTTACCAGGAACCTTTACTGTGACAGCAAGCCGCACTTCGAGGCGAGTAGATTTAAATTTGCACAAAGCAGGCTGCTAGAAAGCCATGACTGGTTTGAGCTGCATTCCTCCAGCATCAGCGCTTGTTTCAGACAGCACAGCCTGGAAAGGGGAGCTCCCATCAGCGTGTCCAGCCTCTCCCCCAGGAGGAGGAAAGGAACCCCATGACATCAAGCTGCTCCTGTAAGCGCTGCCCTCATCCCCCAAGAAGACAACCACACCATCCACCTCGGTAAGTTTTTAATTGCACTGTGAGCAAACAGCACATTAACATCAGGTCACAACAGAATCAGAACAAAATTAAGTGGTCTCTGATTTGAGTGGCGACAGAGAGCAGAAGGTAGTACTATAAACCAGCTTCCCTGCCTCTTCCTACCAGCTATACCTTCACTGCTTTAGTGGTTCACTTCAGTGAAGCGGAGGCACTGGCCAAATCATTGAGGGTAAAAATAAATAAAAAAAAAAAATGGGGCGGGGAGGGCGCATTTCCCTTAGACTGCCATCTCCTGCCCTGGAAAGGGGAGACTACACAGCCATACACAGCCAGCACCCACCCCAAAGTGGTTCCGTACCCACACCACGGCCGTGTGATAACATTTCAGTACAGTAGAGACACTGAAATTACATTAATTTGCAAAGGCTGTCATTTCCCTTAAGCAGGTCAGCCTGGAGGGGGTGGCCAGTACAGGGGCACCTTGTCAGACACTCATCTAGCTAGCGGTCACCTGTACCTACAGGAGTCGGCTGAAGCACAGCGCAGGCCTGGACCACACCGCCAGGGAAGCAGGGAGAGAGACAGGGTTACAGTTCCAGCGGTCAGTGCGGGGGCAGTTGGGGTCAACTCACTAATTAAACACAACTACAGGGACGTGCCCTGACGGGCCTGGTCTCCAGGGGGGAAGGGGTTGCTGCACAGTGCTGCTTTGCCTCCCCTTGCCCTACTTCCCCGACAGCTGCTCATAGAGCTTCGGCACATAGTCATCCCACTCTGCCTGGTAGCAAGTGCCAGCCACCGGCACCCCCAGCTCGTACTTGCTGCGGAAAGATGCCACCTTAAACTTCCCTCGTTTGTCACCAGAGCGATTGGAGAGGATGGGCTCGTTGCAGGTCAGCTGCTTCGGCTGCTCATACACCAGCCACACATAGCGGTGTAGCCCTGCGGGGAGGAGGCAGCGTTACCAGTGCCACTCGCCTGCAATTCCTGGGTGTAAGGTTTGCTCTGAAGTGTCCCCAGGAGCGCAGGGAAACAGACGCCTGCATTCTCCAGGATCAGAAAGCTAAGTAGGACAGAGCTAAAGGAGCTTAGAGAGATGCACTAGATATGCTTGAATAGCTCGTGTCCTGCCTAGGCTCATCCTCCCCCCGCCCTCCACCAGGCAACGCTGCCTACCAGCTGCAGCCCCAACAGCACAGGCCTGCCACCAGCCACAGGGACAGCGGTGATGTGGCTCCAGGCCATCCTGCGTGGGCTATTTCCACAGCACAGGCCAAGGGGGAAGCCCCTTCCCCTGCACCCTGGCTCTGATCCACGCGGCACGGCTGTGCTCAGGGCGTGGGCGCTGCTGCAGCCCGGTACTGACCTGTTCCTTTGGGGGGGCCAGAGCCAACGTAATCTGACAGCACAGTCCCGCTCCCCACATTGTTGCCTTTCATGTTGGTCACCAGGAAGTGATGCCATTCCCTGAAAGGAGAAGGCAAAAGCCAGACTGCATCACAGCCCCAGCTAAGACCTTTCATTAAGCCAGGGTGCTGCTTTGCCTAAGGCTGCCAGTGTAGGTAACTGAAGCCAACAACTGCAGCTCATGGTTTGCCAAACCAAAAGAGCACTGGGCCTAGAGCAGGACCCTGTCAAACCAGCTCTCTAATCCTGCCTTGCAGCTCCAGGAAACCCAGAGCCTGACCCCCACAAGTGGGTATTTCACATGCTTCTGAGCCTGACTTGAGAAAGGTGAGCTGGTCCCAGGTTTGAGACTCGACTGTTAGCACAGACAGTCTTAATTCCAACTCACGTGCCAGGTTAGAGCAAACGGCACATGCTGTGTTTTTCCAACAGACCTCCAACCACCCCTGGCAAAAGCAGCTGCTCCTCCCCGTGCTGTCCCTGACTCAAGGAGAGATGCAAGGGCATGGCTTCCATCCCAAGCCACAGAATCACTGTTGCACCTGAGGTAGAGCACACTCCCCACCTCCTCCTCAGACCAAGAGGGATGCCCCATTATACCCAGGCATGCCAGGAGCTTGCCCACCCCCATTACCTGAATTTCGGGTCCTTCCTACTGGGAGCATCCGGGTCTGTGAGAACCAGGGTGTAAAGCTTCTGGGGATCACAGCCCTCCCACTCAATGCTGGTGGGGCGATGCTGGACCTGGAGGGATGACAGGGTTAGCACAAGCAGCCAGCCCAGCTGCACTGCACAGGGGGCCCACGTGTGAGCAGCGCAGGCACCGACACCCGAGGAGTTCAAGGCCATTCGTGCCAGCTCCCACCCGGCCTCCGAGCGCCGTCGCGACTTCTCTTGCAGCACGGAGCCAGGCTTAACCGCGTCCTCCCCCGTACAAGAGTGGGCAGCGAAGCGGGGCCCTTCTCGTCCCCCCCCGCACCCGGGGAGGCTCCGACGGGGGCTGCCAGAGCTAAGACGCCAGAGGCCCGGCCGCCTCCCGCCATTTTGCCGCACCCCCGAGCGCTGTGCTGGGCCCCAGCTCACCTGAGTGGGCGTGAGCACCTTGCCCAGCTCGTCTATCTCCACCGAGCCATACTTGACCCGCAGCGGGTGCGCCGGCTTCTGCTCCACCTCGGTGAGGCTCAGCGGCCCGCTCCACAGCCCCAGATCCACCGGCATGGCTGCTGCTGCCGCGCCGCTCCGCGCACTGCGCCCGCACCGCCCGAGCGCCGCCCCCTCCGCCCGCCCCCCCGCTCCCATTGGCGGAGGCGCTGCCACGCTGCGCTCCCATTGGCGGAGGCGCTGCCACGCTGCGCTCCCATTGGCGGAGGCGCTGCTAGCCTCTCCACGGCTCCAGCTGTGAGGGCGCCCCCAGGCGGGGGTCGCGCTGCAGGGCCCGGCGCGGGAGAGGCCGAGCGCGGGCAGAGGCGTCGCCTCAAGCACCGCTGCTGCCCTTGGCTTAGCGGCCGCGCCCTGCCGTTAATTAGCTTATAACTGATGTGCCACGGCCCAGTGGGGGCAGCCCCGTGGATATCGGCGCTCTGCTCCACGCACATCTTGGTCCAGTATGTGATGGCTGCTGGAAAGCTGGCCATGTGCCTTCCCCGAGCAGTAAGGTGTCCCAGAGGAACCTGAGGATACCTACATGCTTTATGGCCCTTGTTGGGGGGTTATGCAGAGAACTGATCTATTACTTATGTAATTACATATAATACTATGTATTACTGATGTGTTACATGTAGCAAACCAGCCTGGAAGTTGCTGTCTGTAAGGGTGGAAAATGCAGGACCATTGGGTGCACTTGACATCAGCAAAAAAAAAAAAAATCATTGGGGCAATTTCTCCTACCATACACGCTGACAAAATTTAACAACTGTGCTTTGTTACATTCACCCGGGGGCCCCTTTAAAGAAACTGAAAACATTCGTACCTTTCTCTTTCCTTGTTGTTTGTTTCACTGGGACCCATTCAGCTGTGGAGAAGCTCATTACTTCATCCTTTCCACCTGTGCCTCTTCCGTCTGTGCTCTGCTTCTTTCCAGCTTTGTTTTAAGCTGCTACATTTACTTTTTTTTTTTTTTTTTTTTTTTCCCCATGCCCAAGAAATGCACAGTGTGTGGCACAGTTCATAGTCATTCATGACCGTCTTTCCTGCTCCCACCGCTCTTGGAGTGTCTCCAAGTGGTTGAACTATGGAAGATCCGCTGGAAGGCGGTGGGTTCGCTTGCTACCTTCACTTAATTTCACCCTTTGGAAACACCATCCTCCTTGCGTTAAACGTTCCCTACCCTCGGGCCGCACCCGCGGTCAGTGCCTGGCTCCCCGGGCAGGAAAACGGCCTTCGGGCCGCTCTGAGGGGGCTCTGCCCAAGATGGCGGGGGGGGGGGGGCGCTCAAGATGGCGGGCGCGCAAGACAGAGGGCGGGTGTGCCGACCCCTCTCACGGGCCGCGGCGAACGGGCAGGGAAGGGCGGCTGGGCCCGGCCGGATTCACCCGCCCTCCCCTGGCCGCTCGCCGGGGCGGGGGCCAGGCAGCACCGCCTACCCGAGGCGGGAGGCTGGGAGGCTCCGGCGGCGGCTCCCGGCGATGTGGCTCCCCGGCGGGACGCCGCCAGCCCCGTTCTTCCTCGCCCTCTGCGTCTGGAGGCTGGTGCCGCGCCGGGCCGCCGCAGGTAGCCGGGGCTGAGGGGAGGGGAGCGGCGGCCGGGCGCGGGCAACTGCGAGAGCAGGACCTCGGCCCCTGGTGCTCTTGAGGGCAGCACCCCAGCGGGCCCCAACACTGATTTCTTTAATTAAAAAAAAAAGTCAATTTTTTGTCCTGAAAGTAACAAGATTTCCCTTTGAAAACAAGCCAGGCAGACACGGAGGGGACTGGTAGGAGAGACTCCTGCGGACCCTTGAGCTGGCTGTAGGGTCCAGGTGTCATTTGGCGGGGAAAGGGAGAGATAAATGGGGGATATCAACAGTTGTGTCATCTTCCTCAGTGGCTACTGATACTGGGGTGCTTCTAGTCTCCTCTTTCAGTACTGTGCGCTCCCCTGAGTGGTGCAGGGATGAAGCTACTTGGGCAACTGGCCCAGCAAAATGTTGGGTGAGCACGGACATTGCTGTGACCCAGCGGCATTAGTGCTTGAGCACCGTTCTCCTCTGGCTCCTTCAGGTCGCTTGTTTGTTGCCCTTCTCTCTCAGGCAGAAATAGCCTGTCCTGGCTTTCCTATTGAGCCTTTTAAGCTGTGTCTTTCTTCCTGATCCTGTGTCTTCACTAAACGTTGTTAGCAGCCAAACGCACCACAGGGATCCCTTGCCAGGACCCCCCCTTAACAGGCATCCCAGAGGGTTGATATCTATCAGATGTCCAGGTCTTCGCAGATGGAAGGGGGCTTTGCCAGTTCCCTACATCCCTAACACTGTCCCTTCTGTTTTACAGGAACAGAGGAAGTGGTCTTTGGGAAGGTGGGAGGAAGCATCCTTCTTTTATGCCGAAATGTCTCCAAAGAAGCAACCGAAGTGGTTTGGTTTCAGGGGGATCCGCACTCTTTCCCCCCACTCTTCTCCTCAAGGGTCACCTTCCCCCCGGACGTCCGTTTCTCCCTGGTTGACAACAGCTCTCTGCGCATCACAGAGCTGCGTGTGCAGGACGAAGGCAACTACACTTGCAAGGAAGTGCTGAACAAGACGGACCATGAGCACAAGGTCCGGCTCGTGGTAGCCAGTAAGTCTGCCCCGTGTCTGTGAATTTCCTCCTCTGAGTCTCACAGGTCCCCAGATTCATCTGGCACTGGTGGAAATACAATGTAAGAAAGGGCAAGGTGGCCTCATAATGCAAGATCTGTGAGCAGGCTGATACTGCTCAATTACACGTTCATGCACAAGCACCGAGATGTGTGTCTAAATGATCTGTCAAGGATCAGTTGTGTGTGATGCAGAGGACAAAATGCTAGCCGTTAAGTGCTCTCTATGTCTCTTCAGTTCCTTCTTCATTGCTGAAGATAAACTAGTTTTTAGACAGATCTTCCGTGTCCTGTACCTCTTCCAGGGTGGCACTTTGCATCAGAATCTGGCTGACTTGAGCCTTCATAAATGTTAGGGTGTGGGCTGCTGCTCAGTGTCTGTTTTTTCCCTTGATTGAAATACGTGTTTGCAATAGATGTCCTGTGCCATTCCTTGTTGCCATCGTTTTGATGTGAGGATGGAGGGCCCTCAGCTGATGACTTGTCTGTGCTGAGTCTTACAGTGCACTCTTCTGATTTTGATGCAAACACCATGTTCCTCAAATTTATTGCTGGAAGTGCTGTCCTGGGAGCGTGCCCGCTGTCCGCGGCACAGGCTATTCTTCCAGCTTTTTTTCCTGTAGCATCTTTTGGTGCTCTCTCCCATTTCCATCCTTATTTCATTCATTCATTCTCTTAGAAATCTTCACAGCATGGGTGGAAGATCAGGCTGGAGAACGCTCAAGTGGATTATTTTGCACACCACTGGTGCAGGTCCGTCCTGCTTCTGCTGGGGAACCCTTACCTTGCACAGATAGCCCATCTCTGCTGTGGGAACAGCCCCCCATCAGATTAGCACAGGTCCTATGGCTGATACCACTCTTGGCCCCTTCACCAACTCTGATCAGATGTGGGCTCTGACCCCTCAGACCTGGGCTGCGACCGGCTGTCCTCTGTGCCAGCCAAGTGCGCGTTACAGGCTTGAGAAGAGGGAAAGTCTGCTGGCCCTTTGCCTTTTTCAGTGACACTCTGTGCTCTATTGGCCCTCTCTTGCTGGTCTTTCTGTCAATACCTGCTGTGTGAGAGACCTGTTTTCTGTTTGCATTCGGGGTGTGCCTTCCTGCTTGGTGTTTGGTGAAGGGTGCGTGTTGTAAAAGTTGTACCTGTTTTGTACAGATTAGATCTCTGTAAGTTCACCCAGGTAAAAATTCCCTTCCTGGGGCGGGGAACCTGTAGATGGGGTTTGGAGGGTCACGGAGGGCTGGAGTGAAGGAATCTAACCCAGGCTGCTTCAGAGAATATATATGTTGGTGTGGGGTTTAGGAGCAGGGAGCACTAAATCTGGAGCATTTGTGAAGAACGGCCATGAGCAAAAGGTATCTAGGTCATGCCAAGTGTTGGTGATGCACTCTGAACTTCATTCATTAGTGTGAAATTAATGTGTCAGCTCCCAAAAGTTACAAAGGTGATAGAGGACACTGGTGTGCTCTTAAATAGGTGAGAAGGGTATTTCTGGTGGTGCTTTAGATCAACAGAAGAAGCATCAGAAAAGGCCAGAAGTAGAAGCGTGGGCCCTGATTTTTCACATTCATTGTTACTGGAGCAACTTAGCCTGGGCTGGACCCTCAGACACAGACTTGGCACTGCTGTAAAAGAGCCACCCAGGACCTGGAGGCTTCAGGTGGGACTTGCCAGCTGACAGCCTTCCACCCATCTCATGGGTTGTACCAAAAAGTTTCTTTTTTTGCTTAAAACTGCATTTAAAAAGACCACAAGCAGTAGAGTAAACATTCTAGCAGCAGGACAAAGGTGCGGCCCTGCCTTGAGCTGCTGTTCTGAGTTTGGTTTAGATAGGAAGCACGTGGTGGGAAGGAGATGTGCAGTTGCACACTTCCAAGGGATTCCTTGGTATGTTTGTGTGCAATTTGATACAAGCCACTGTTGGCTCTTCTGTGGGTGTGAGGTCCTTTTTGCTGATGTTCTGTGAGATTTTTTGGGGGGGGGGGGGGGGGGGGTTGGAAGTTTTTAAGTTTTTGGCATGTTAACATTTTGGGAACAGATCTCTGTTAGCATTTAGACAGAAGAGTAGAGCTGTACTGGGAGAGCCTGGGAGTTCAGAATGTAAAGGTGATGGCTTCAGGAGGCAGGATCCTGGAACCAGCACAAAAAGTGCAGCTCTATGGCTGGACATCCTGGAAGGACTGTGTCTGCCTCTTGACACGGGGTAGTTTCTGGTGATTCAGGCTGTCGGGTTGTTCTTGTGAACCACAGCCAGGATTCAGGATCAGCTGTGAGACCTCCTCAGAGCTGGGACAGAGGAAGTGTTGTAGAGAACTTCCTTGCCAGAGCTGGATGGTTTCAAAGATCATACGAGATGCGTGTGTACAGTTCCTGGAAAGCCAAGCCCCAAGAAGGTGTGTTCTTGTAGCTCACACGGGGTTTTGTCATGACATTTTTTTTTTTTTTTTTTAAACTCATGTCATTTGAAGGTCGCTTGAGTGAGTGCTTCACAAAATAAACATGAGGCATCCCTCTGACACCTCTTGTGTTGGGGCTTGCGTTGGCAGCATCTGATCTCTCAGCACGGTCTTTTTCAGTATTGGATTAGGCAAGCCAGCCACGGGGGCACAGTGTGTTAATTCTGCCTGGATCAGAGTCCAGAATCCCTATGGCTGTAAAACAAACGTGTGTGTGTATCTGTGCATGGAGGGGTGTGTGTGTGTGAAACCAGCTGATGGGTGAGAGACAGGAACTCATACTGCACAAAACATAAGGCCTACTCTGCCCAAAGGGTTTGCTCTTGGGTTTCTGTTGGCTTCTGACCTACTCCTGCCGTCATGTTCTATGATGAGAGAAGTACCTCTTTGGTCCCTCCTGGGGATTGTGAGTGCAGAGGAGCACTTCTGAGGGCCCAGCTGCTCAAGCTGCATTGGGCAGGGGTTGATTTGCTTTCACTGGACGCAAAAATAGGGGCCTTGCTGTGGTGCTTTCTCTACCAACAAATCATGAGAGCCCGAAACCCTCCCCCCCTGTGCTGGTGGGACCGTTGCAATGATGGGAAATGGGAGCTGAGACAGCACCGGCACCTGCTCTGTCTCTTGCACTGAGGATTCCTCATCCATCCGTGTCCCAGTGACAAGCTGGCCTCCTGTGCCTCCTCTTCTCTGCAGAGCCGGTGAATATCGTTGGGGTCGTGGGTGCAGTGGTGGTCCTGTCCCTGCTGGCTGTTCTCACCATCGCCGGGATTGTCTTGTACTACAGTCACCTCCTGTGCCTGAGAGGTAGGAGCTCTGCACACGCCAGGGAGGGGGTTACTGCTTCCTGGGGCGGCCTGGTTTTATTCCTAACCAACTCGTCCCTTCTGGTGTGCTGGAGTCAGCCAGTGATGATCACCCCAGCCCCTGGGCCTCATCCTGCTCCTGATCAGAACCCTGTCAGCCCCCTGAGGCAGATAGGTTGGAAACACAAGGGCCCTTCCCCAGCCTAGTGCTTCAGGCACCTTCCCCTCGCCTTCCCCAGGGAGCTGTGCTGTGATGGGCCTTCTCCCCTTCCCTCGTGAGCTTTCTGGTGCTCTCGCTGTATGCGTGGGCAGGTCACCTTCACGTCCGTGCCTCCACATGTGGCTGCCAGAAACCACCCTGCTGCTGCCCCGATCGACGGGGCTTGTGCAGTAAAACCAGCAGCACGCTGCCCGAGGGGCGGCTCTGGGGCCAGTTTCTAACGCTGCCCTTTCCCTTCCCTTCTCTCCCGTACAGGTGCTGCGCTCAGGTGAGTGTTTGGTTGCCCTCAGCCCAGTCCTGCGAGGCCTCACCAGCCCGTCTCCTGGCAGAGGATGGTCTCCCTGTAGGGTGGGGAATCCACCGCTGAGGCAGGAGCTGTCCCCAGGGCAAAGCTGTGCTTACGTGGGAGCTGTGCCTCCCGTGGGAAGGGGATGTTGGGGATGAGCGAGACTCTGCACGGGAGCAGGAGGGTGAGGGGAGAGGAGAGCTCTTGGCCTCAGAGCAGGGTGGGATCGCGCTGGGATGCGCAGGTCCGGTGGTGTGGGGGGAGGCTGTGCAGGAGAGCTGCTCCTTGGCACGAGTGACCCCGGAGACTTGGAGAGTCAATAGAAATGGTGATCTGCCACCCTGTGTGGGCGTTTGCCCACGTGCTTCCCCCCCTCAGGAGGGGTGTCTGATAGCTGCACGTGGACAAGTGCCTTCTCGGGGTTCGGGTGCACCAGATTTCTTCTCTGCTTCTTGCTCACACCCCTCCTGGCCCAGCTCCCTGCCCTTGCCCCTGCTGGTTCTGTTCCCACAGCTGTGAGGCTGTGGCAGGGGAAGACTTGTTTCTGAGCGCCTTCGTTTCCCCATCTGTATGGGCAGGGAGAATAACTCCCCTCGGGAGGGGCGCGTGCAGCTCAGTACGTGAATATTCGTCAAGTGGTTGGAGGACTTTGGGAGATGAATGGGAAGCGGCGCAGAACGCTGTTGGTGGTGGTGCTGCCAGCAGGGTCTGAAACCAGCTGTTCTTGGTAACAGGGTTAGTGCAAGATTGGAAGAGTTTATCAAAATTGGTTGTTTTGGTGTAGAAGGTTGTGAGAGGCAGGGGAGGCACAGGCTGGAGGCAGGGGTCGGGACAGGCTGTCCTCAGCCCGCCTCCGCTTGCTCTGCTGTTCACAGGAATCAAGACTCGGGTGATATCTTAGTGCTGGTGGACTCAGAGGACGATGATGAAGGGGAAGAGGAGACCATGAGCAGCTCCACCAAGCACGAGGCAGTGGTGCTGGTCGACGGGAGCAACGCCCAGGCTGCTTACCTCCACTGCCTGGCGGAAGGTGAGCCCAGCTGCCTGCCCGCTGGCCCAGCCTGGGGGCGGGAGCTGCCTGCTCTCCCCCTGAGCTGTGGGTCTTCCAGGAGCAGCTGCTGGGGAGGGAGGAATTCCCGTTTGCCCGGCTTGCTGGCTCTTGCTGAGGCGCTGCTGCTCCGTGCCCTGTGTAGGTGACGATGGGGAGCAGCACGGCGGGGTCTCCCTGCAGGAAACGAGAGGAGAAGAGGCGCGAGGCACACAGTTTCCATCCCTCCGTGCGGAAGCACACGGAGCGCCGGCTGGGCGCCCGGAGTCAGGCTCGCCCCTGTTGCCGTGCGGCTGAGCGCGGGCCGTTCGGTTCCTGCCGCGGGCTGCTTCGCTCCGAGCGTCCCCACTTCCTTCTCCACTCACTCGCCCCTTCCCTAGCTTTCATTCCGTCCTTCCCAGGCCTTGCTTCTCCATTTCTTTTCCCCTCTCTTCATATTCCTCTTTGTCTCAGGTGTCTTTTTTAACAAGGTGGCACCCGGCGCAGGCAGAGCTCGGGAGGTGGGTCCCAGTAGCCTGCTCATCATGATGCCTGTGATGGACTCAAATACCAGCACAGGGTTCTGGCCCAGGCACCACGAGCAGGGCTCATGATGGAGAAAATCACCGTGGGGCCGCAGTGGTCCCGGGATAACGGAAGAAACAACGGGTGCCCAGGCAAGACAAGGGTGATGCTGACTCTAGGGAGGCTAAATTGTTTTTATTATAAATGTTTTCCCCTAGTCTTTCTGGAATGTTGCTCCGTATCTAAGTCAGGAGTAAATGTGTACCTTGCAGCGTTCTTTTGAGGGGGATGCCTGGCCGTGATGGAGAGCATGGAGGGAACTTATACAAGGAGGGGACGAGGGGAGCGGGATCCACAGGGAGGGGATCGGGGCAGCCGTGGGGGGAACCGTGGGGTGGGTAACAGAGGGGCCAGAGCGTGCGGGAGGGGGTGGAGGGACAGGTCAAGTCTGAGCCCCCCGCAGGGGTCAAGGGAGGGATTGGAAAGGCACAGCAGGGCCAAGGGGGAGGAACCGTGCCCTGGGAGGGTGCGGGGCAGGCAAGGGAGGGGTGGGAATGGCCGAACGGGGCAGGATGGGGTGGAACAGGGGCTGAGGGGGGCGGAGGGGAACAGGAATAAACTGTGCCAGGAGGGGAGTGAGGGCATGCGGGGGGTGATGGTGAGGGTGTGTGGAGGGTAGTGGGGGGCACCTGAGCACACACATGGGGGGAACCGAGGGGATCTGGTGGCGCGTGGGGGGGATGAAGGGGACCTGAGGGTGTGTGGAAGGGAAAGGAGGCACTGCTGGGGCACACGGAGAGGAGCAGCGTGGGTGAAGCGGCAGGGCCTGAGCCCTCCCTGGGCTGGGGATAAGGCCAGTGCGAGACGGAGGGGAGCTGAGGGGTGAGCGGAGCGCGTGGCGGGGCAGGGGCTGGGGTCCGGTTGTGTGCGTGGAGCCCAAACGGGAGATCCTGAGGGGCTGGAGGGGGGAGCGGAGTGCAGGCGGGGATGAACCTTGGTGGGCTGTCCCCGAGGAGCCTCGGCGCAGTCCCCAGCACCCTCAGGGCCACACCAGGAAAAGCCCAGGGAGCTGCGGGAGCCTCCGGCTGCCCCTGGCAACTGTGTTGTGCTGCCGCCATCTCGGCGTCCCTGCGCTGCGAGCGAGGAGGAGCAGGCACCAGGCGAGATGGCCTTCAGCCCGGAGGAGTATTTGCGCGCGACTTTGCAGGACAAGCTGCGGCTGCCGTGAGTGAGACACCCCCCCAGTTCCCCCCGCCCCCCCCCGCTCCGAGCCGGGCCGGCACCTCCCGCCTCCCCACTGGTCCATCGCTTTGTGTTCTCATGGCCGGGTCCCCGGGGTGCCACTGCCAGGGTGGGTGTCAGCGGGTGGGGTGCTGGGTCCCCAGGCATTGGGGCTGCGGTGTGTCCCCAGCTGGGGCGCCCAGGGAGGAGAGGGCACCCTGGGAAGTAGCAGGGCTCCATCTCCACCTGCATCCCCTCCGGCGGCGCGGGGACACTCGGGTGCCCATGTGCTGCCCAGTGCGCTCTTGGGTGGCTTTCACATGGGCGTCCCATCCCCGTCCCCCCCCCCCCGGGAGCAGAGGTGCTGCCACGGGTGCTACGGTGGCACTGGGGGTCTCCGAGGGGAGAGCAGGCTGGGCCCCCATCCCGCGTTGAGCCCCGGCAGGCAGCGGCCGTCCCTGGAGAGACCCAGCCTGAGTTCTCCCCACCCAGGCACGACGAGCTCCACGCGACCCGCGGCAGGACGGTGCCGACGTGGGATGCTGCCGACCTGCTGCCCTCCACCCGCTTGCTGCTGAAGAGGCGGGAGGCGGCGGAGGTGGAGCGGGCGCTGCAGAGCCAGCGGCAGGTGAGGGCAGCTCCCAGCACCCCCCCGGGTGCCCCCCTCCCCGGGGGCTGCGCCCGTGCCATGGGAGACGAGTTCACGGGGTGGCACCCATCCCCACCTCGGGCGCGCTGGCGTGGGGCGATGCCCTCAGCACCCGGCGGTCCCGCAGGAGTTTGGGCAGAGGATGGAGCGCCTGGCGCAGCGCCGGCAGCAGCTGGGCCGGAGGGAAGAGCAGCTCCGGGACGTCGTCCTTAAATTCGACGCCTTCCTCAAGGTGCCGGGGCGGGGGCCGGGGCCGGGCTGGGCGCCGGGGACCCCTCTGAGCCCGTCCCTACGGCGCAGGCTTCAGCGGCGAGGCGGGAGCGGGCGCTGTGGCGGGCGGCCGAGGCGCGGGCAGCGGGGCAGGGTGCCGAGGCCGCCCGCCTGCGCCGGGAGCTGGCAGGGCTGCTGCAGCGCAGGGAGCGCCTGGCCCGGCGCCTGCGGAGCCTCCGCGGCTTCGGGGATTACCTGCGGGACGTGCTGGCCGGGATGGGGCAGGTGAGCGTGGGGGGGTTCCCTGTCCTGCCGTGCCACCCTGCGTGTCCCCGAGCCCCTTGGGGAGCACGGCAGCTCTGTCCAGGGCAGCTCCCCCCCACCCTGCAACCCCTGCAGCTTCTCGGACCCTTCCCGCTCCTCAGTTCCAGGATGTCCCAGCCATGCTGGCCCATTTCGGGGCGCTGGCAGGGGTGCGGGCAGCCCTGGCACGACAGGCAGAAGCCGGGCAGGAGCAGCTGGCCCAGGGCCGGGCACGGCTCCGGCGGTACCGGGAGGAGGCCGGCAGCGAGCTCCTGCGCACCAGCGGCGAGGTGGCCCAGCTCCGTGCGCAGCTGGAGGCTGCCCGCCGTGACATGCACCAGGGGGTAAGAGGGGATGTGGGGTGCCCAAGGACACACACCCCCCCAGGGGGAGAGGGGACAGCAGGATGGACCCCGAGTGTGCTGCAGAGGGGAGATGCCCAAGGCGGGGGTGGTGGGAAGCCGGGCTGCAGCCCCTGAGGTCCCCATGTGCCCAGAAAGCTTCACCAGCAGCTGTGCGTGGAGGGACGCACAGCCAGGACTCTCTGGGTCCCCCCTGTCCCGGGTGGGGACATGGGGCAGTGGCTGGGGGAGGCACAGGGCTCTCTGTCACTGTCCCCCAGGAGTCCCACTGGGCCCACGTCCAGAGCACGGCCGCCCAGAAGACCCTGCTGCTGGGGCAGATCAAGCTGGCAGTGCTGAACCTCTTCCAGCTTGCCACCGCACGGCTCGAGGGCCCTGTGGACGTGGTGGCCCTGGAGGACACCGAGGCACAGCTGGACACGGTCAGCACAGCCCTCTGCCCTGGGCGGTGGGGCGGGGGGGGGACAGTCACGTCCCCGGATGGCTGTGGCATCGAGGTCCCTGTCTCCACAGGTGCTGCTCTGCATGCAGGACCTGGCTGCCATCTGCGCTGAGCTGTGCCCCAGGCAGCCGGGGCCGCGGCCCCCACGCTTCCCCGCAGCCACCAGCGCACCCCCACAGCTCCGCAGGGGTGCCGGGGTGCCCCCGAGCCACCAATAGCCCCCGGGGACAAGCGCCCGCTCCCAGGGCTGGGGAGAAGATGCAATGGCCAGTGTGGGGCCTGGCCCCCCACCCCCCAGGGGATGAAGGTCACTCCCTGAGAAGTCTGGGCAGCCCCCCACCACGACGAGAGGTGACGGGGCTGGTGGTGGCACAGGCACACAGGGATGGCACCGGCCAGGGCCCGTGGGGAGAGCCCGACGCCCTGGGGTACCCGGCTGCTGTGGAGGAGCTGGGGGGAGGCTGCCTCTCACGTTCAGGCTGCTGAGTATCGAAAGTGCCTCTTGTCAAAATACAACCCAGCTGTGGACCCGCAGCGCCTCGTGGTTTTACGACTGCACCGGGGGAGGCCCAAGGCGGCAGGGGGTGAAGAATTACCCCAGGCACGATGCTCACGGCAAAAACAAAGAGGAGTCAGGCTGCAAAACCAGCCAAGTATTTACTGTCTCCTTCCCTGGCGTCCAGCCCTGGCGCGGGGGGAAGCTGCTGGGGTGCAGCCCCCTCCCCTACACCCTCTTGCGCAGCTTGCCCTTCTTGGCAGCTCCCACCCTGCGCCCAAAAGCCATCTGCCGCAGCTCCTGCACCCGCTGCCGGTTCCTGGCCTTCAGGCGCTTCAGCCCCCCGCTCTGCAGGAACCGCTGCTTGGCCGCTTTCTTGCGCTGCTTCAGGATCTGCTGCTTGTTCTTCAGCTCCGAGCGCACCCTGCCCCGGGCGGGGGGCTGCCCGGGCCCTGCGGGGGGGGACACGGCCGCGCTCAGCCCGCAGGTCAGAGCGAGGCGGCGGGGGGACGACGCGGGGCGCGGGCGCTCGCTCCGGGTACTCACCGTGCCCACGCCTGTGCTTCCCTCTGAACTGCTCCCTGCCTCGGTCGCCGTCCTCATCCTCGTCCCGCTCGTCAACCTTATATTTCTGCTTCCACTTTTCATAGCTGGGCCAGGGTGGGTTAAGGGAACGTGCACTGACTCCCCCTCACGCCTGACCCGCCTCGCTGCCCCAGCAGGGGATGGACCCCCGGGAGCCAGGCACGATGCCGCGCGGCTGCCGGCGGGTGCAGCCTCGGTCCCCCTCGCCCCGGCACGGGCAGGCAGGATACAGGTTGTTCTTGTAGGAGCTGCTGATGTAGCGCCCGCTCTCCGTCCGCACCTTCTTCTTGTCGTCCTGGCCCGTCTGCCCCACGAACCGCTTCTTCTTGCGGTCCCTGCGAGAGAGGGGAGGGCGGTGGGGAGTGGGTGGCAGGACCCCCCGCCCCGATTCCACCCCCAGCCTCCGGCCAGACCCCACTCACCACTTCAGCAGCTGCTTGCTCTTGTTGAGGTTGTGGTTTTCGTCGCCCATGAGATCCAGGACGGCTCCAGCCGCCTGCTGCTCGAAGGCGCTGCCCTCGCCGCCCACGCTCAGCCTGCCAAGGGCGGGCGATGAGAGCAGCCCCCGCGCACGGGCCGGGGGGGGAAGGGCGCTGGGACCCCTCCCGGACTCACCCCCTCTCGCTCTCAAAGTCCTTGGGCCGGTACGGGATGTAGAAGTCCTCGTCCCGCTGCGCCGGCTGCTGTGGCTTTTTCCTGGCGCCGTCTTCTCCCCCTCGGCCTCGTTTTCTCTTCTGGCCCACCATGGTGGAGAACACGTCCTGGAAGGAGACAGCCGGGGGAGCCACGTGCCCCAGCCGGCCGCTGCACCGGCCCCCAAAACCTGGCACAGCCCGTGGGCCCCGGCGCTGCCAGCACCCGCCCGAGGCTGCGCTGCAGCAGCTCCCACGGCCACGGCAAACCGCCCACTCCTGCCCCCTTACCTGGAGGTTTTCCTCCTCTCCGTCTCCATCTCCCTCCCCAGGCCCTGGGGGGGCCGGGCACAGCCCCTGCCCTTTGAGAGCCTCTGCCCGTTTCTCCTGCTGCCCGCGCTGGTACTTCTCGATGAGGGCACGGTCGTGGCGCCTCTTCGACCGCATCACGGTGCTGGCCGCCGTGCGGGACGTGGCGTTGATCTCGAAGATGGTCTGCTCCCCGGGGCGGGAGCGCGAGCCGCGGTGAGGGGCACGGCCGCCCGCACGGACCCTCCCGCCCACCCCAACCCCGGCGCCTCGTGCCCGAGGACGGGTCTCGACTCACCGCCTTGGACTTGTAGGTTTTAATGCTGTCCACTAACTTCAGCCTCTCCAGCTCGGTGTCTTCGAAGCGAGCGCCTGGGGGACGGGGTCACGGAGCGGGGCACGGATCAGCTCCGTGGCGAGGGGAAGGGGGTCCCCTCCCTCGGTGTCCCCGAGGCACTCACTGAAAAGCGGGTGGATGCCCAACTGGGACACGTCCAGGTCCTTCGCCCTCTTGATGGACTCGGGCGAGGGGCCGGGCCGGGACCGCAGGTACTGCTTGTGGGCGTTCTCGGCGACGCGGCGCAGGCTCCGCAGCTCCAGCGAGCCTTGGTGGTCCGTCAGCAGCAGGCACTCCTCGTCGTCCACCAGGCTCTGGGGGACACGGCCCAGGACCCCGCCAGCATCTGTAGCCCGGGGGGGGACGCCGTGTCACCACGCTGGCACCCACCCTGGTATCGTTGCAGTAGCAATCCGGGATTTAGCAGAGCAGAGCTAACAGCCACGGGGAGCTCGAGGGAGTTAGATCAGCATCCCCGACACACGGGGTGTTTCCCTTTTCCCCAGCTGCACCCCAGTAATGAGAGCACATCACCCGTCTGCACAAATGCCAACCACGAGACCACGAGCTCCAGCGCTGGGCAAGGATAAAACCGCAGTGGCCATGTGGCCAGTGTCCCAGCTTGGGCACGGGGCCACCCCGATGCCTGGAGCCAGGTCTGCCTTACCAGCGGGCATCTCCTGGGCACCGGCGAGGACGAGCGGGCGCCCCAGAAAGAGGTGGAGGTCGAAGACGTAGGGCATCTCATCGGGAGCCACCAGCGAGTAGGCGGTGCCGCTCCGGCCAGCTCGGGCCACGCGACCTGGCAAGGGGAGGAGGAGAGTGAGAAACCGGACCCAGTGCCAGCCCAGCTTGCCCCAACCCGGGCAGGAACCCACTGGTGTCCCTGGGAGCCCACGCACGTGGCGTTTACCAGGTGGGGATGGCTGGGGAACGGGGCAGAGGGGAGCCCGCCACGGTGCCATCCTAAAGGGAAAGCACCAGCCCTGCCCCCCAGAGCCCCCGAAGTCCAGCTGGGAGATCAGGGACAGTCCTGCCCCTGCTTTGTCCCCAGCCTGTCTCCTGATGTCACCACACCTCCTGCCCCAAAGATATGATCACCAAGTCAGGGGCACCGGTGCCAGCCCAGCAGGCCACAGCGATGGGAGGAACAGGGGACAAGGGACAGCCCACTCCCACCCTCCCTGTCACCCCGAGGGACCCCAAAGTTGGAAGGACCCCTGCGCGGGGCACCGGCACCCACCGACGCGATGCAGGAACAGCTTGGCCTTGGCGGGGAAGCTGTAGTTGATGACGTTGTCCAACATGGGGATGTCGAGCCCGCGGGCGGCCACGTCGGTGACCAGCAGCACCGGGCACTTGCCCTGGGCGAACTTGGCGATGTTGATCTTGCGGGCGGTCTGGTCCAGCGAGCTGTAGATGTGCGTGCAGCGGATGCCCTGCGCCGTCAGCAGCTGGGGAGGGGGAAAGAGACATCACAGCCCACCTGGGCAAGCACCCCCCGCCAAGGGACAGGGCCGCCCAGTGCTCTGAGACCCCAGGGGGCCCACCCGGACCCCCAAATCCCACTGCGCTCCCCCCTCTCTCTGTAGGTGGAAGCAGCACCTCCACGATCACATATGCTGGGATTCCTCCTTCAACCCAGTGAAACAAGAGGCAGACCCCAGCAGGGATGTGTCCACAGCTGCGGACTCCACGTGGGTCTGGAAAGGGGTCCTAGGCCCGCCCCCCCCCCACAGCCTGCCCTTTAACAGGGGTACATGCTGCCCACCCCCAAATGTCACTTGCCTCCTTGAGATACTCTGTGTGGTGTTTGGTGGCCACAAAGACAACCGTCTGGTCCTGAGGCTTCACCACGCTCCGGAGCAGGTGGAGCAGCACGGCCGGTTTGTCGTCCCCGCGCACGTGGAAGAAAGCCAGCTGCAAAGGGAGGGCACAGCTCAGCCCCTGCGCGTCCCCGCTGCCACCCCGTGTCCCCTCCTCGTGAGCCTCACCACCCAGGGTGGCTCGCAGGGGGCGGGAGCCCCCCCACCCCACCCTCTCACCTTGAGCTGCTCGCTGAGCTTGGACTCCACATCCAGACGGATCAGCATCGGCTCGGTGAGACCTGTGGGATGCGGTGACACGCAGGACACGGGTCGCACGTGGGACCAGCCTCACCTCTTGGTGAGGGGACACCCGCTTGGCCAAGCCTCGACCCAGCTCAGTTTTGGCAGTCCTGGGCCCAGCCCAGCTGTGGGACCGTGCCGTGTCCCTGTCCCCAGGTCCAGCCCCCGCCAGCCGCCGCCTGCCCCACGCTCCTCACCGGCCCGGGCAAACTCGACGAGCAGCTTGGGCAGCGTGGCGGAGAAGAGGACGGTCTGGTGGCAGTCGGGGAGCCGGGCGATGATCTCCTGGAGCTGCTCGGCGAAGCCCATCTCGAAGAGCCTGCACGGGATGGGACACGGCGGCGCCTGTTCGGTCCCTCCGTGCCCGGCCCCGCCGCTCCCCAGGGAGCTCACCCCACACCTGGGGGGACGCTGCCAGCCCCCCCCCCCCCGGTTCCTGCACCCCGCTGACCTGTCAGCCTCGTCGAACACCACGTACTCCACGGTGTGCAGCTTCAGCTTCATCTCCACCGCCACGTGCACCAGGCGCCCGGGGGTGGCGATGATTCTGTGGGGACAGAGCTGGTGATGGGACCAGGCCGGGGCAGGGGGGACAGGGACAGCGTCCCCACCCTGAGTGCAGGTTCCCAAATCTGACCCAAGGAAGACCTGATAGAGCCCCCCTTGCCCCCCATGGGGAGCAGGGGAAGGTGCTGCAAGGGAACACCACGACACGTGTGACGTCCCCAGGGAAGTGGGCAGCTCTTGGGGGGCCGTGTCCCCGCCAGGTCCCCTCCCCGCGCCCTCACTCACATGTCGGGGTTCTCGTGCAGGGCGGCGAACTGGTCTTCCATCCTGCAAGAAGCAGGGGGAGAGGATGGGGTGGCATGGGGCAGCCCAGCCCCTCACCAGGTTTTTGGGGAGGCTTTAGGGAAGCGGGGACCGGGTGGGGACATGGGGACAGCTTACTTGTCTCCTCCCAGGATCAGGGCTGTCTTCAAGCCGGTGAACTTGCCCAGCTGCCGGGTGAGAAAGAGGTCAAGGGTGGGGGGGGAGGTGTTAAAAGCGAGCCCCTCGCCCCCGTTATC